GAATAAGGCCTGGTCTGTGTTCAGTGAGTGGGAGTTGAACTGGGGTGGGAGAGGGGGAACTAAGGCCATGGTCTGTGTTAGTGAGTGGGAGTTGAATGGGAGTGGGAGAGGGGGGAACTAAGCCTGGTCTGTGTTAGTGAGTGGGAGTTGAACTGGAGTGGGAGAGGGGGAACTAAGGCCTGGTCTGTGTTAGTGAGTGGGAGTTGAACTGGAGTGGGAGAGGGGGAACTAAGGCCTGGTCTGTGTTAGTGAGTGGGAGTTGAACTGGGGTGGGAGAGGGGGAACTAAGGCCAGGTCTGTGTTCATGAGTGGGAGTTGAACTGGGGTGGGAGAGGTGGAACTAAGGCCAGGTCTGTGTTAGTGAGTGGGAGTTGAACTGGGGTGAGAGAGGGGGAACTAAGGCCAGGTCTATGTTAGTGAGTGGGAGTTGAACTGGGGTGGGAGAGGGGGAACTAAGGCTTGGTCTGTGTTAGTGAGTGGGAGTTGAACTGGGGTGGGAGAGGGGGAACTAAGGCCTTGTGTGTGTTAGTGAGTGGGAATTGAACTGGGGTGGGAGAGGGGGAACTAAGGCCTGGTTTGTGTTAATGAGTGGGAGTTGAACTGGGGTGGGAGAGGGGGAACTAAGGCCTGGTCTGTGTTAGTGAGTGGGAGTTGAACTGGAGTGGGAGAGGGGAACTAAGGCCTGGTCTGTGTTAGTGAGTGGGAGTTGAACTGGAGTGGGAGAGGGGGAACTAAGGGCCCTGGTCTGTGTTAGTGAGTGTGAGTTGAACTGGGGTGGGAGAGGGGGATCTAAGGTCAGGTCTGTGTTAGTGAGTGGGAGTTGAACGGGGGTGGGAGAGGGGGAACTAAGGTCAGGTCTGTGTTAGTGAGTGGGAGTTGACTGTGGTGGGAGAGGGGGAACTAAGGCCAGGTCTGTGTTAGTGGGAGTTGAACTGGGGTGGGAGAGGGGGAACTAAGGTCAGGTCTGTGTTAGTGAGTGGGAGTTGAACTGGGGTGGGAGAGGGGGAACTAAGGCCAGGTCTGTGTTAGTGAGTGGGAGTTGAACTGGGGTGGGAGAGGGGGAACTAAGGTCAGGTCTGTGTTAGTGAGTGGGAGTTGAACTGGGGTGGGAGAGGGGGAACTAAGGCCAGGTCTGTGT